TGCCTAGCATGTGTGAGGCACTGGGTTCCATTCTCGGCACCACATATTAATAAATTAATAAATAAAATAGAAGTCCATCAACAACTAAAAAATTTAAATACAAAGAAAACTCAATAAAGGTCAGATGTGAAAAACTCAAAGATATTATACTTAAGGGGAGAAGTTGAGTTTTTCCTCTAAATCTGAAACACAAATACTCACTTTTTTTAATAGAGAAAACTGACCCACTAGATGCATAAATTCCAACATATGGGAAAGAAAAGCGTGAAAAAACAAGGTAATATAATATCTCCAAAGGAACCTAATAACTCTCTAGGAACAAACCCTGAAGAAAAGAAAGTCATCAAATTACCTGACAAAGAATTCAAAAGAATGACTTTTAAGGAAACTTATTGAGATTCAAGAGAATACAGACAGACAAGTCAATGAAAAATACAAAGAGAATTCATGACATAAATAAGAAATTTAGCAAAGACATAATAAAAAAGAACCATTCAAAAATTGTGGTGCTAAAAACTGAACAATATATATTTGAGATCCTTAACAGAAGAACTAGTCAAGCAGAAGAAACAATGTCCAAGCTTGAACACAGGTCTTTGGGGGGAAAAAAAGAAATGAAATGAAAAAGAGCTAATTTTAAAGAACTAAAAAAGCCATTAAGGTCCACAGGACACAATTAAATAAGCAAATATTCATACAGTGGGTGCTACAAGATATGAGAAGGAGGGCTTGGGCTATGGCTCAGTGTCAGAGTGCTTACGTGGCACATGTGAGACACTGGGTTCAATCCTCAGTACCACATACAAAAAAAAAAGCAAATAAAATAAAGTCATGCTGTCCATCTATAACTACAAAAAAAATTTTTTTAACTGAGAGATGAGAAGGAGCCAGGCATGGTGGAGCACACCTGTAATTCCAGTGACTTGGGAGGCTGAGGCAGGAGGATCACAAGTTCGAGACTAACATCAGCAACTTAGTGAGACCCTAAGCTACTTAGTGAAACCCTGTCTCAAAATAAACAAATACAAAGGGCTGGGGGAGGCTGGGGTTGTGGCTCAGTGGCACAACTAGCATGCACTAGCCTAGCATGCATGAGGCACTGGGTTTGATCCTCAGCACCACATAAAAATAAAAATAAAGATATTATGTCCACCTAAAACTAAAAAATAAATATTTTTTTAAAGGGCTGGGGATGTGACTCAGTGGTTAAGCACCCTGGGTTCAATCCCTAGTAACCCCCCAAAAGAAAAGATGAGAAGGAAAAAGGCATAATAAATCTATTCAATGAAATAATCAATGAAAACATTCTAAATCTTGGGGACAGATACAAATATTCACGTCCAGGAAGCTTAAAAGAGTCCCAATAGATTTGATCTAAAAGTCCTCCATTGAGCAGGAAAGAAATCTTGAACTAACAAAAAAATTGCCAATCAACATACTATCCCCAGCAGATATATCCTTCAGAAATGAAGAAGAAATAAAGAGTCTCCAGGACAAAAACTAAGGGAATTCATCACCAGGCTGACAAGAAACGCTTAAGGGAGTTCGGCAGAAGAGAAAGAATGATGACCACCACCACAAAAATGCACAAAAGTACAAAACTCAATGGTCAAGCAGGAACCAAAAGAAAAAGAGAAGAGAATCACACCCTACCAATACAGAAAAACCACCCATCAATAAGAATGGACAAGAAAGGAAGAAAGGAGCAAGAAATACACAAAAAAATCAAAAATTTTTAACAAAGTCACAGAAATAGGTCTCAACTTATCAATAATAACCTTGAATGTAAATGGGTTAAATCTCTTAATTAAGATATGGACTGGATGAATGAATTTTAAAAAGTAAGGCTCAAAAATATGCCTTTACGAGAAAATCGCTTAACCAGTAAAGATACACACAGATTAAAAATTAAGGGACAGGAAAATATATAACATACAAACAGAAACCAAAACCAAGCAGAAATAAAAAAATAGACTATAAGGAAAACATTATAAAAAAGACAAGAAAATAACTACAGAATGATAAAGAGATAACAAGAAGCTATAACAACTATAAATATATATTCACCCAGCACAGTAGCACACAGTTGTATAAAACAAACATTCTTAGACTGAATAAATAATAAAATAATACTTAGGAACTTCAATACTCCACTTTCATCAGTGAACAAATCATCCAGACACAAAACCAACAAAGAAACAACAGAGTTAAATTATAGTATAGAGCAAATGGACCTAACACTATAATGAATATTATAAACCACTGATGAAAGAAATTGAAGAGGACAATATCAAAATACCAATGACATTCTTCACAGAACTAGAAAAAAATCTATAGGGGACCACAAAAGACCTTGAAGAGCTGAAGCAAACCTGAGCCAAAAGAACAAAAAGGGAAACATTACAACACCTGACTTCAAAACATACTATAAAGCAATAACCAAAAGAGCATGGTACTGGCATAAATACACACAGTTGGGTAAAGAGACATCTGACTCTCACATTTATTGCAGCACTCTTCACAATATCCAAGAAATAATAAAAAACTAAATGTTCACCAATGGATCGATGAATGAGTGAAAAAATGTGGGTATCTATCCACAGTGGAATATCAATCAGCCATTAAAAAGAATGAAATCCTGTCATTTGCAAAAATATGGGTGGAATTGGAGGACATTATGTTAAGTGAAATAAATCAAACACATAAAGACACGTTCCACACATTCTCATTTATATGTGGAAACCAAACAGTTGATTTCAAAGAAGGAGAAAGTCACAGGGTAGCCATTAGAAATTAGGAAGGGTAGAGAGAAGGGTGGATGGGAAGATGTTGAATAGCAGGTACCAAAATAGAGTTAGATAGTAGCAGTAAGTTCTAATGTTCTAGAGCACAGTAGAGTGACTACTGACAACTATTTATTATGCACTTTATAAGCAATTAGGAGAGAGGAGTTCAAAGCTTTGAAACACAAAGAAATGGAAAGTGTTTAAGGAAAGGGAAATGCTAATGACCTTGATTTGACTGTTACACATGTATAAAAAATGCATCAGATTACCACAATATATCCCATAAACGTATGGTTATGCCAATTTAAAAAGAAAATCATTGGAAAAAATAGTAAACTGGTAATAATCACAAAAAATATATATTAAAATAAACAAAAGTTTAAAAAAATTTCAGATATACACCAATACCTTAAAAATAAGGGTTTGGAGCTGGGGTTGGGGCTCAGAGGTAGAATGCCCGCCTAGCATGCGTGAAGCACTGGGTTCGATCCTCAGCACCACATAAAAATAAAATAAAGATATTGTGTCTACCTATAACCAGAAAATAAATTAAATTAAAAAAATAAGGGGCCTAGGGTCACCTCACTTCCTTCTTGGTGATTATGTGGTGTGTGTGTGTGTGTGTGTGTGTTTCTAGGGATTAAACCCCAGGGGTGTTGTACCACTGAGCTATATCCCCAATTTTTTATTTTGAAACAGGGTTTCACTAAGTTGCCAGGCTAGCTGGAACTTGGGATCCTCCTATCTCAGGTTCACAAACTGCCACAATCACAGATGTGCACCAAGTACGGAGCCCTGATTCATTCACTGCCCTTTTCCTCACTCTCTTGCCTCCCAGGCTCCCAGCCTCTTTAGATCAGTAGGCAGCAGCCAGAACTGAAAGGACTGTCTTACGTGGCACATTGTACTTCTGGAGGCAGTAGGCAAACTCCATGGGTCGCACTGCTTTCTGCCGACTGTCTTGCATCTTCTCCAGCAGCAAAAGAAGCTGGAAGGGAACACTTCTTCTCTGTTCTCCTGCTTCCCTTGGCACTTTTATCCTGTCGAATAAGAACAGCCAGGAACCTCCTTTCACCCACAGTCGTCCATGTGAGGTACATACTGGAATCACTTAGGAAACTTTTAAAAAATCTCCATGTCCAGACCACTCCCCATATAAACTAAATCAGAATTCTGGGGGTGGGACCTAGATGATTTAAATGGGTAACCAAGGTAAAGAACCACCATGTTAGTGAATTGGCTAAACAGAATACCCTTGAGAAGGGGACCAACACAACTGCTGCCTCAGCAACTCCACCCCGACCAATAATCATGCTAGAATAAAGGGCAGATGCACCAGATTCTGGGTTCACATATGAGGCAAGCAGTGAAATGTCCAGTCTGAAGCACTTCAAACAGAAAAGGCAAATGCTAAGTTAAGTCCTGGGTAGAAAGTGCAACATGAAGGGATGGCATGTATTTAGGCAATGATTCCTTAAATTATAGGCATCTCTCAATTTTCCTGTCAATGAAGGAAAAAAAGAAGAGTGCACGGGGCAAAAAGAATGAGTATGCTAACTATGCACACACTTGGCTCCACTGACAGTTTCTCTGACATTGGTCTAATTCAATGACTGCTGCATTTAAAAATCACCTACAGAAGGAGGCATTTAAAAAGTACCAATGTCTGGGCCCCAACCCAGACCAACTGAAACCAAGTAAATGGAGGTGGGATATGGTATTTGTGTATTTTTAAAACTTCTTAAGCAATTCTAATGCAGAAAAGCAGAAAAAAATATCTTTTCTTTGACAAATTTTGAAAGAAGACTTCTAAAGTCCAAGTCACTGTAACTGAATAAAAAACATAAAATAATATACATATCAATTAACCTGAATAATAGTCTTACCTTTTCAATATCTTGGTGAAGTCCACGTTCATTATGAATACCTGAATTAGGGAGTTAAGACAACAGGTCTGTCCGATGTTGTGTAAACCAACCAGGCCTATAAAAGGAAAAGAAAAAAAAATACTGAGAGTAAAGCACAGTTAAAGGATTTAACAAAAATCAAATGTTTTTCTAGCATCTACTGAGGACATGAAATCCTTTGAAATATCTCAGATGTACAAAGAATTCACTATGGAACTTGTAAACAAATTTGAGAGGAGATATGCATGAACCTTTGAGAAGTTAAATAACAAGACAAGTTTCAATAGTCCACCAGAAAGGAGATGTCACCCAAAAAGTGTATCATGCATTGACAAATGAATGATACAAACAGTTCTGCACAAACAGTTGTTGGAAGAGCAAAGGGAAAAAAACTTTCTGAAAGCATAACTGGGGTACCAAGTTTCCTCCCCAACTGGTCTCTACAGCTGTGTCAGAATGGCTGTCAAACTTTGGGGAAGATCCACATACTCTAAATTTACCCCAAGAGACTAAAATCCAGTAGAAACTTTCAAACTATGAGAAAACCAAAAGATAAAACAATTCTCCGTTCCACTAGCAATCAACCTTTCTTTTCCCAGCACAGACTCACCAGACCCCACAGGTGAGCAATTTAAAAGGGAAGCAGTACCACTAAATGTCAGAATTCCTGGGAAATGGGCATTGGTGTATAAGAGACAGGGCAGTAAAAATATAAAAATCCAGGTGTAACATGTAATCGCAGATTTCTGCTCCCAAATCAGTAAGAGCATCTCGATTCTACACAGACTTGTAAAGGGTAACAGAAAAGCAGAAACTAATGCTGCACGTTACGTGGCAAGCATTGGTTTAAAGCCGTTTCCCCAGATTATCTCATTTAATCCCTGGAACAACCCTCTGTGCTCACTACTATTATTATCTCCATTCCACAGACACAGAAACTGAGACACAAGTGATCTGGACCCATTAACCAAAAAGCTCTAGTGCAACAGAGTGTAGTAAGTAAATGAAGCATTTCTATGAAGTCAAAAAGAGAAAAATAGGAGGTTCTAATGACCATGAGGGTTGTCCCAGGCATTGAAATGTTCTCTCTCCCTCTTCATGTTGTTGTTCTCTTCCTTCTTCGAGGTGGATTCCCCCGGGTACTGCTGAGACTCAGCCAGGATTAACTGGCAAGTTTCTCTCAGGAACCCGAACACTTTGCCCATTAATGATGACTTCAAAATCCCCAGGCCAAGGCTGCCTGGCAGGTGTTCAGGACTCCACCACTTAACTTCCAGGAGGAGCTCACATGGGCCAGGTGCAACAGAGCCTCTGTGAAAACACACAACCTAATAAGAATAAGACAGGAGGAAAGCATATTAATTCAATAAGTTCTGATTTCAAAGAGCCAAGTCTTAGAGAAGAGATAACTGATTAGGGATATTGACTAATAAAGCTCAAGGACTGTAAATAACAACTAAGCTAGATACACCTGACCCTCGTTTCCATTTGTTCTTCTCCAGAGTAGACTGTCATACCCTAACACTGAACTCTTCTCCCCACCTCCAGATTCTCTTTTTGGTAAATGATGTAACTAACATTCACCAAGGGGACCAGATGAGAAGCCCAGTGTCTCTTTGCTCCTCACTCCCATCCCCAACTGTCACTTCCACAGCTTAAAGGCTTCTCACAGCAAATTCCTTGCTATCCACACCTCTAACTTACTGGGATACTCCTACAGACATCCAAGTTCCAACAAAATGTTCTGTCTTCTGGGAAGCTTGTGCTGGGTCCTTAGGAAGGCCTAGATGTTGTCTATGCTCCTGTGCACTTTATGCACAGAGCTATTCAAATAATTAATTAATTGTATCCTAATGTGAGGAATAGCTGTCTCTCCACTTGTGGATGTGGTGGTTCACAGACACACATTCAACAGACACACATTCCCCAGGCCCAGAGGAGCATTGGTTCTTGACAGAATACAACTGAGCACCTTTGGTTTGCATGGATGAGGACATAAAAACTACAGTACTCAAATTATTCTACTTCTTTACTTCCTCTTGACAACACAGACCTGACACCTGTAAATTCTCCCCAGCATGCAATTCCAGGAGGGATCTCTCATGTGTTTTACAACAAATTCATAACCATGGATACCAAGACACTACGCACTTCCCTCCAATCTCCACTAGGTAGCAGCCACGTCACTGCCACACAGCAGGTTGTACAAAAAAGATCAGAGTTTGGAAAAAAAAATCAAGAGTTTGGGGAAAGAGGATGTGAGTGTGTGCAAAGGACTATAAGCAGCACACACTCACATAAACTTACATTCTATGTTACCAGTTGATCTTTTGTGTACAACCTGCTGTGCTTCAAGATATCCCTTGTTTCAAACTATTCCCTCTCATCTTTAATAAACTCAGTTCCAGACTCACCTCTTTCATGAAACTTGCCCTTGAAAATGTCAATAAATCAAAAGATTTGAGTTTGCATGTCTATTACTTAAGCAGTTATTTTTTTATAAAATTAAAATTCTGGAACTTGACATGGAAGAATTATAAAAGTGTTCCAGAATTTTAATTTTATAAAAAAATAACTGTTTAAGTAATAGACATGCAAACTCAAATCAGGACCATAATGAGATAGCAATTTACACTATTCAACTGGTAACAATTAGGAATTCTAATAGAATTTGATCATTATGCATTATAAACATGTACTGAAATGTAATGTTGTAATCTATAAATATGTAATCTTATGTGTCAATTAAAAATATGCACAGAAAAAAATTCTGATCCAGGGGACCTGGATAAATAGGATTTTTATCTACTACAAGGATGGGGGCATAAAATGGTATAATCACTTTGGAAAAAAAATTGGCATTATCTTTTAAAGTTAAACATCCACTCAACCTCAACCCCAAAATTCCAAGTGTTCTGGGGTTTTGGTTGTTTGTTTTGTTTTAGTTTATTCTACTGGTGGGGATCAAACCAAGGGCCCTGACATAATAAGCAATACTCTGCCACTGAACAACACACCCAGACTGCAAGGGAAATTCTTACATGTGTCCCCAGAGACATCTATACCAATACTCATAGCAGCACTGCTTCTATAGCAGAATACAAGGATATTACTCACTTATTCATCAATGAATATGAATAACCATAATGTACGTCACAAGATACTGAATCTTAGAAACACAATGTTAACTCGAAAAAACGATTCCCAGAAGATAACATATATAATGTGAATTCTCTAGATTTAAACTCAAGCTCAATGGAACATTATATTGCTTATGCATCAATATATGCATGTACGATAAAACTTTTTATTTTTTTTTCATTCATTTATTTATTAAACTTTTTAAATAGATAATGAAAACCACATGCCAATTACTCTGAGGGGAATGCAGGAGAACAAGTCAGTGGAGAGCCATTGCTTATAATATTTTAGCTGAGTGTTGAAGGAGTTTCATAAGTATTTATTATATTATTATGTAATTAATTGGAATGAGGAATTAAGGCTAATACTCTAAGGAAAACACATGGTCTGACACAGGCCTAAGGGAATCAAATCATCTTTCTCGTATACAGAGCACACAGCACAGCGCCAACAGGCAATGCAGAACTGACACAGTGGATGACAAATCTCAGTTACAAATTCCTTCCTGCCTTTGCCCCAACAACCCTCAGTTTTGACTGGCTGAGATGGGAGTTTTCAGTAAAAGGCAGAAGGGACTTCACAAAGTCCTGTCTTTTAACACAGAAAAGCAGAAGTCAAACCAAGTTTGGGGATGGAGAAACTGCTTCCTAGTGAGATATATGAGGAATATCCAGGTAAAAATGAATTGAAAGATGCCAAGCAATGCACCAAATAAATTAAGACTAGCACACATTAAAGGACAAATAATAAAAGATATAATCTGAAAATCATAAGTTGTATGGATAGATTGGTCATTACTACCCATTACCAGGGCACATATTGAAAGTGGCAGTGGGTACATTTAAAAAAATGACTTTATAACTTTTGCCAGATAGAACTGGAGACTACTGTGCTAAGTAAAATAAGCCAGTCCCCCCAAACTAAAGGCTGATATGCGGATGCTAACACACAATAATGGGGGGAGGGAGGAATAGAAGTTCAGAAGTGAAAGGAAAAGAAGGAAGGATGGGAATAGAAAACAGACAGTAGAATGAATCAGACTTAACTGTTCCACAATCCCCTTCAAGGGCACACTCCCCAGAAAAGAGTTCTTAATAGGCCCCACCTTTAAAGGGTCCACCATTTCCTGACAGCACTACCCTAAAGATCAAGCCTTTTAAGCCTTTAAGGTGGGCCTTCGGGAAACATTCAAGATCCAAACTAAAGAAGGAGGATCATCAAACCTAAAAATAGATCTACTAGATGATCCAGTCATTCTACTATTGTGCATATTTCCAAAGGAAATTAGAATATGGAAGAGACATCTATATGCCACTGTTGATGGCAGCATTATTCACAACAGCAAAGATTTACAGCCTAAGTGTCCATCAACAAATGAATGGATAAAGAAAATACGGTACATACACACAACAAAACATTATTCAATGATAAAATGAATTCCTACTATTTGTGACAAATGGATGAACCTAGAGAATATTCTGTCAGGTGACTTATTGTCAGGCACAGAAAGACAAATACTGTATGTCTCACTTGTATGTGAAAACTAAAAAAGTTAATCTCATAGAAGTTCAAAGCAGAATAGTGGTTACAAGAAGCCGGGAAGAGAATAGGAGGAAGGAGAATGGAGAGGAGATAGTTAAGCATTCAGTTAGACAGAAGGAATAGCACAGTAGGGTAACTATGGTGGAAATAAATTGATTGTACATTTCAAAATAGCTAGCTTGAATGTTACCAGTATAATGAAATAATGTTTGAGGTGGTAGAAATTCCAATTACCCTGATCTGATCATTACACATTACATACAAGTATTGAAATGCCACACTGTACTCAATAAGTATGTACAAAGAATATGTCAATTTTTTTTTTTTCAGTACTGGGAATTGAACCAGTAGAACTCTACCACTAAGCTACATCCCCAATCCCCAGCCCCTCCCACCCTTCCTCCCTTTCTTTCTTTCCTTCTTTTTTTTTTTTTTTTTTTAATAATTTGTACTGGAGATTGAATCCCAGAACTCTTAATCACTGAGAACCACATCCTTAGTTCTTTTTATTTTTAATTTTGAGACAGGGTCTTACTAAGTTGCTTAGGGCCTTGCTAAGTTGCTCAAATTTAGGATCCTCCTGGCTCAGCCTCCCAAGTTGCTGGGATTACAGGAGTTTGCCACCATGCCTGGTTTATAAGACCTTATCTTAAAATCAAAAAAAAAAAATGAAAAGGATCCAGATGAGGTGGTGCATACCTGTAATCCCTATGACTTGGGACACTGAGGCAGGAGGATCACAAGTTCAAGGCCAGCCTCAGCAACTTAGCAAGACCCTGTCTAAAAATTATTTAAAAAATAAAAAATAAAAAATGACTGGGGATGTGGCTCAGTGGTAAAGCACCCCTAGGTTAAATCCCCAGTACCAAAAAAGAAAAAAAGATCGGGTTTTACTAAGAATCAGAGGCTGGACTCAAATTTGTTATCCTATTGTCTCAGCCTTGAGAATCACTTAAGAGTACAGGCATGCTACCACCACACTTTGCTAACTATTTTAAAAGATAGTTATAAAGAGTTGTCCCTTATGAAGCTTGTAGGCCAAGTAGCTTGTAGTGGAGTCAAGCTGAAAAAGAAATGGTGACAGCAGACAATTTCATCAACTAAAAATAAACACTTGAGATCATCATTGACAGACATCTAATAAAACTGACTAGAAAAGGTCCTGCAATGGAATATATCATTTGGACAGGCAGACAGGTCAGGTCCCAAAGGGGAAACACAAAACTGCAGCAACATTTTAAGATTGATCACAGGGGAGATGAGTAGGTAGGGCAACAAAAGGGAAGAAAGTGAAACTTAAAGATCTGAAGAAAATGGGGAAAGGCAAAGTGGGCAGAGAGGGTGTTCACGTGAACTATGCAGGTGCAATAAACATCCACCAGAGAAAAGAGAATGAATATATTTCAAGGAAGATGAATCTCCAAACTTAACCCCTTACAAAAAAAAAAAAAAAGGTGGGGGGAGCTCCAAAGCACTGAACCAATTTAGCTCTACCCTTTCTGAATAAGAGTGATGGAAATAACTCTTATTATATAGAATATACATTGTATATATTATATACATATATAATATATATATTATATATGTATAGACCCACCACCATAGTAGCCAGAGAACAGAGATATAGCAAAAGTGCCAAAGACATGGTAGGAAGAACCTGGTTTTGCCTGGATCTCTAACTTCATGCACTACTAAACCAATGAGAGGTTGTGGGAAATTGTACAAAACTGCCTCCAACTTTAAATGCTATAAGAGGAACAAAATTAATATGTTGGCAACAATATATAAGCAACTTCCCTGTCTTTCAAATCCAATGACAACATATTGAGACTTTTTTTTTTTTTTAAACAGATTCTCACTATTTGCTGCCCAGGCTGGTCCCAAACTCCTAGACGCAAGCAATTTTCTTGCCTCAGCCTCCAAAGCTGGGACAATAGGCAGAAGCCACCCCAACCAGTTTAGAACCCATTCTTAATGATTTGTTCACCTGTTTACATTTCATGGGTAATGGCAATATGCTGGACACAAATTAGAGTATTCCAGATAAAATCCAAAGTAATTGGGAATGTTTGAGCTATTCTCCCCCAAAGAATGAACGACTTACCTTCTTTTTGGTTCTCTTCATGTTAAACATTTTCCCCTTTGTGAGCCAACACTGCATAAAAGTGTCAAATTCACAGCACAATTTCAATGATTTAAAAAGGAAAAACAAAAGAGGTCCCCTCTTTTTTTTTTTTTTTGTTCTTTGCTAAATGCATCATAAATCAAGATGGAGCTGTATAACTGTGTTCTTTCTTCTCTATTTTGTTCCTATGAACTCATAGGATAACCTGGATGTCTACATTAAACTCTCCACTTGGCTTTGCTCGGTATAACACCCAAAGGAAAACATCACATGAAATATTTTAAAATATTTGCTTTGTTTTTTTGGAAAGATTTCAAAGTATAACTAGGTTGTTAAGTATGAAAATAAAGCCTGTGCTTTAATTTCCCAACACTTTGGATTCAGATTTTCAGGGATATTTGGAATGGAGTTTTATGTTTAAAGGTCTAAATTTTGCTTTCGTCCAAGAAAATGGGAGGAGAGTGATTAAGACTAAAAGACTCTGATTTGTACAGTTTGACAAAATTAATCATATATATATATATATATATATATATATATATCCACTGACCCAGCAATTCTACTTCTAGGAATTTCTCACAAATATATTCATATATTTGCAAGAATGTGCACATAAAATTATATTCAGTGCTGGCTCATCTAAACCAGTAAAAACTGGAAACAACCTAAATGTCCATGCGTTGTTTAAATAACGTACTTCCCATACAGTACCTATAAAAAATGTATGCCATTGACATATCTATATGTCTTGACATGAAAAGATGTCCATGATATACTAAGTTGAACTTAGAAAAGAATTTTAAAAACTGATAAAGTAAACACAAAATGTTCAATATTAGTGAACCTGGTTTCTACTTTACACATTTGTCTGCGTTACTTGCATATTTTTACAAGTTTGCAAAACTTTTGTCATTTCTTTTTTTAATTAAACACAAAGACATGCTAAAAGTTCAAATAAATATATTAGTTTGGGGGGGGGGAATTATTGACCCCATATATTCACTCAATGAAAACATGCATTATTATCACTTGCAGAGCCCAAATAAATTTCTTAATTATTTGGAGACTATAAGCAGAGTTCCGTTGGATATCTTTCCTAGAAAGAAAACTTCCAATATTAGCCTCAAACTTGCCTCAAGGGCCTAGCAGCGTCGAGCTTCCACTGAAACTGAATTCCCGTCCGGTCTCGATGAGCTCCTCACCAACTCCGCACGGTAAGCAGAGCTCCCGGTGGCAACCCGCGCTGCGCGCTGCCTCTGCCTGCCACCTGGCCAGCGTTTGGCTGAGCGCCCCCTTTCCTTGCAGCCGCCACTCCTCCCCGCTCCGCCCCGCTCCGCCCCAGCCCCTAGGCTTTCGTTTTCCACTAAACTGAAAGCGAAACTCAGTGAGTTGCTGGGTGCGGACGGGGGCGGATCCGGGCTATAGGGAAATTTAGCAACCTGGTCCAGAGATTCCAGGAGGAGTACTGTTACAAGCGACGCGGCAGTGTAGCGTATTTCTCCATCTCTGCCATTTGTCCTTGAGTCCACGAATACACGCTGCTTTTTGACATTTCAAAATCTCTGCAGTAGGGAACAAATCACAACCATTTGGCATCTTACAGTATATGTATAATATCAGGGTTTTTCCCCCTTTCTGTTATGCTATAATTTATTAAAATGCGTGTTTTGACATTGATGGCTTGTAGATTCGATGAAAATCGATACCCTATTGTTGTATAGCTCTTCGGAGCCAGCAGCACGGGTGTCAGAACCATGGGTGTCAGTCCACACATGGAACAGGTGCAGCAGGTGCAGCCTGGGCATCAGAGCCCAGGTAATTTGAGAGTAGTTTCTATGTGGTGGGTGGCAAGATCAAAAGTATGGTCCATGTAGGGAGGATACTGGTAGAGATGAGAGATTGGTTATATACAGGGGGGTGATCTAATAAGTAAACATGTATTAAGTATAACAAGCTCCAGATTTGAAATTGTCGAAAAGAATGTTGCAAAAAAAGAATGTAAAAGTGAAAACTTTAGCATCAACCTGGAACTGAGTTGTCAGTTTGGATCCATGATTTTATACACAAATGATAAGGAAATAAAGAGCTAAAAGTGTGTATGCATGCATATATTACTTAAGTTGGTCCACTGAGAGTGCCCAGGATTACTGACACCCCAGAAGTACATCTAGCACCCAGAATTTGACTTCTAATTACCATTCTCTAATAAAGGAACCAGAGTTGCTTAGACAAATGGCTGTTTCCAAGGTTAGGACAGAGAAAGCACAAAATAAGCCTATGACATCTTTTTCTGATAGAAGGTAAGGAAATGTGCAAAGGATGTTGGGGATGTGTCAAAAAGCACAGAAACCATCCTGAAGATACTCCCACTGGCCAACTCTAAAATAACTTGAGCATCAAATTAAAATGATGGTGATAATATTGTGACCCATTAAATAACATAGGAAACCATAATCCATATAAAAGTTAATGATTGAATAAACTGAAAGTTTGCTAAGGAATAGGATACTCTCATGGTTTGATACTTCCCACAAAATGCATATTATGAATTACTAATAATATTGCATATGTAATATTACATCACAATTACAAATGCTATAATTGGTGTAAATACTAATTATACCGGAGAAAGAAGTACCTTCCCAGCAGCAGTGGCCAGCAGTGGCCAGCAGGAGTGATGGGACAATTGCAATTGTATGCCATCTAATAGGATGAAATTAAAGGAACACAGCATCTCTTCTGTGATGTTGCTATCACAGATGCTAACCTGAACCCATTCATAAGGAAACTCTGAGTGTTCAAAATTGATAGATATTCTGCAAAACAGCCAGCCCATTAGGTTCAAAAGTGTCAAGGAAATAAAAATCAAAGAAAAGTTTGAAGAACTGTTCTAGACTGGCAGATCAAATAAATCATTATAAGTAACAGGAGATTCTGAACTGAATCCTTTTGCTATAAAGGACAATATTGGGACAACTGGTGAAAACTGAATGGGGTCTGAGAATTAGGAAGTAGTAATTTCCCACTGAGGTATAGCGGGGAATGAAACATCACATGAAAAACTTACCCTCAAGTGATTTAAGAAAAAAAGTTCTTTGTACTATATTTGCATCTTTTCTGTAAGCTTAATACTATTTCAAAAATTTTTGCCGGGCATGGTGGTACATGCCTTTGATCCCAGCAGTTCGGGAGGCTGAGACAGGATCATTGTGAGTTCAAAGCCAGCCTCAGCAACCTAGCAAGGCCCTAAGCAACTCAGCAAGACCCTGTCTCTAAATCAAATACAAAAAGGGCTGGGGTGTGGCTCAGTAATTAAGTGCCCCTAGTTCAATCACCCTCTGTAAGGGTCCCGCGAAACGTCGGAGAAAGAGGCCACCAAGTGACCACTCATGCAATTGGCAGAAGGGGGATTTATTGAACCAGCATGCTGGGGCTCCGTGCCCACTCAAGAAGGGAAAGCAGCCAGAGCCCCGAGCAGGGGCTGAGCACTGCTTAAGTACACTTTTTGGGGAGGGCAGAGGGCTTTGTATACATCAGAACAAATCATCATTAGGCGTGGGAAAATTGAACAACAACTCCTAAACATGATTGGTTCATTCATTGGCGGGAACATGTCAGGCTGGAGTGATAGGTCATTCCTAAGGAGGGGGTTACATTTAAACTGATTGGTCCAGGCCCTGCAATGCCTATGTGCGACCACACAGAGCCCTTATTACTGGGCAGTTCCAAGCATTGTCTTAACAGCTACAGAAATTTAACTCAGACCTTGCAGCTTAGAAACTTTACAACACCCGGTCTTTTACTCTTTAACTTTTACGCTTTAACTTCAATTTCTTTTACCCTTACACCTCCCCCCCCCAAAAAAAGTTGTTTAATATGAAAAATATTATGGGGTGTTAGGGGGTTTTGTGTGTGTCTTGTTTTGATTTTTTTCTGAAAATCACATGATTGTATTTTTTGGAAGCACTGGTTAAAAAAATTTCTCAATACCAGGCAGGAAAGAGATTAAATGGAAACTGATATAATACTTGTCTCAAAAGAAAGCTTGGACCTTGAGATGCATTTACTGGAGTTTGCATTGTATTTCTGCCTATTTGGGATATTTCCAGGGACATTGAAATTATTATCAGCTAAATATCTTACTTCCTATTTTTTTAAATTTGAATTCAGAGATTAAAGACCACACATAACCAGTTCAACTTGAAAATTCTGCCTAAAGTCTTGGTCAAAAAAGAAGATACTGGCTGACATCATGGAATAATCTAGTAATCCTTCACAGTGAAAAGCTACTTTAGAAAAAAACTATTTGCCTGAGGGGAAGAATACTAGTGAAAATGGCCAGGTTTGTTGCATGGGGCAAGAGCAATTGACGTTTTAATAAAAAAGAATCAGTAACTAATAAAGTTTTGATACTTTTCTATAAAACTCATTTCTCTACAAATACAAATGGCTTCGTGTGACTTATGTGCTCATTCTCTCTATAAACCTCTTTTTCCTATTTTCCTCTCTGCATTTTGTCAAGTTTTGGGAGGCTTTTTTGTTGATGTTGTTTTTGGTTTTGTTTTATTTTTTTATTATAGATGGACACAATAGATTTATTTTATTTATTATGTGGTGCTGAGTATTAAACCCAGTGCCTCACATGTGCTAGGCAAGTGCCCTACCACTGAGCCGCCTACCCAGCCCATTTTTGTTTTGTTTTGTTTGTTTTTATATTTTACCATATTTTGCATGCTTAATAAATAATAGGTTTGTTTTTTGAGGGATGTAAATTGATTCTCCTTCACAGTATTCACTTCAGTAAATACATTCCTAAAAGAAATAGAGGATTGTGCTAAATTAAAGCAGTCAAACTAAACTCTAAGTTTCACTTTCCTGGCATAGATTTCAGGGGCCAACTAAAACAGACTATGACAGCATTGTCACCTTCTCCAGTAATTCTTTCTTCTGTTACTTTGTTGCCTTAATGGAGGACGTTTTAAAATTATTTTACAGTTCTTTATTTTGAAAAGTCAACTTTGCACATAGGGAAAACTATGAAAAATATTACAATGACTTCATAAACCTTTCACTCATTATTAACATTTTGACACAATTGGTTTTTGTTTTTCTCTCTTCTTCACACACATATGCCCACACATCTGTATAGCATTTTTTTCTTTTTTTGCAAGAGTACTTGAGAGTAAATTACAGAAATCAAGATTCTTCAACCCTAAATAAATCAATGTATATCTCCTAGAATCAAAGTTTCTTTTGTTTGGGGTTTTGTTTTATTCATTAACCCTGATGCAATTATCATCAAATTCAGGAAATCTGATGCTGGTACAATACAATTTTCAAAAATATTCAGTTAATATTTAAATTTTGCAAATTTTCCCAGTACTATTCTTTACAGCAACTTCTTTTTTCCAATACAAGATCCAATCCATAATCTCATTCATTTAGATTTTTTATTTTTATTTTGAGATCATTGTAGATTTTTATGTAGCTATAAAAATTAATTCTTTGCCTTGTTTTCCCAATAATAACATCTTATAAAAATCAAAGTACATGTCAAAATCAGGATATTGACATTATCACAGTCAAAATACAAAACATTCCTTTCAATAAGAAAGTCCTTCATGGTGCCCTTTACAGCCATACCTATGTCCTTCCTTCTTCTCTCTTTAACCCTCAACAACCACTCTTCTGATCTCCATTTCTTAATTTTGTCATTTCAAACATATTATCTAAATGAAGTCTCACAGTATGTAATCTTTGAGAATTAGCTTTTTTTTCACTTAGCATAAATCCTCTGGAAATTTATCAAGATTTATCAACAGTTTATTCCTTTTTATTATTGAGTAGTATTCCATAGGATGAATGTACCATTGTTTGTTAACATTCTTCTGTTGAAGAAGGTTTGAATTATTTCTGAGTTTTGTCCATTATAAATAAAACCACTCTTAAAATTTTTGTCATTTTTCTACTGAAAATTTTTTCTTTCATTCTGGGATAGATGACTACCTGCAGTTGCTGGGGGTTATATAGTTTTATATTTAATTTTTTAAGTGCCAAATTATTTTCCAGTATGACTATACCACTTTTCATCCCCCAGCAATGTATACGTGACCCAGTTGCCCACTTCCTTCCCAGCATTTGGTGGTATCATTATTACTTATTTTAGTCATTCTGGAAGATGATATATGATATCATTGTGGTTATTCATTTCATTTTTTTAGTTGTATATAGACACAATACCTTTATTTTATTTATTTTTTTAATGTGGTCCTAAAAATTGAAACCAGTGCC